CGACTCAGCCGAAGTGGACGCAGCATGTTGTCATCCCCGCCTTCTTGCGCGAAAGCTCCAGATGTTCGAACTTTGGGACGAGACCAGGTTCCCCATGCTCAACCTATTTGTGAAGCACTATGCCTCATGGCGGGAGGCGATCGCTAAGTACGTGGACATTCCTGTCGCTGATGCAAAGGTGGAGCTCATCCGCATTTTCTATGGTGGCAAGCCCTCCTTCGAAGCTCCCTGGATCCTCAAACTTGCTGATGAGGTTCAAAAAGCAGCTTCTTGTCTATTGCGTCATCCAGATGCAGCGGCATGGCGAGACTTATACTCCGATCGTCGCAACCCCGAGTTCAGTCGACTTTCAGCTTTGTTGTCCTTCGAGGATAATGAATTGATGAAGGAAGTCCGCGATGTCATCGGGAATCAGTCCTGCGTGTTGCTCTTCGATGGGGCTATCATCCATTGCACCAGTTTGGAACATGAGATTTTGGTGTCAGAATCGTGTAGACGATGCGCCCAGTCCATGATTCCAATGTCTGTGAAGTCCTGGCCCACATCGACACATTCGATGACACTAGCCCGTCTGGCTCTTCGGCGGGACATGCTGAGTGTTGTCTTGGACGGCAATGTGATCACATCATTCCAGAATTGTCTACTCAACGGCATCGCCAACGTAGAGCCTAGTGTTGATTTACAATACTTCGCTGATCATGAAGGCCCGCTTTCCGCCAAGGAGTTCAACGAGATCATATGTTTCGCTTCGCAGCAGTCAAGCTCGGAATCCGTCCGCATGATCTTGGAGCCTATGACTGACGTCCTCACTCATGTCTGCTCAAGGAAGAAGTGGCTTTGTCACCAGCAAATGTCTGATGGCACTGGACATTGGTTTGCTGTGGTTTTCGAGGAATCCGGCGAGGTTCGGCTTGTTGACAGCACTGCAGGTGCACGTAGACTGTCCATTACTGCAGATGGCCTGGCATCCTTGTGCTGTCAACTTTCTGGGTTGACATGGTTTCAACTTCGGAACATTCCCCACAGCATTCCCATGGATAACAATCGCGCCTACATGCTTGAAGGTACTGCGACGGGTGTTCATGATGATTTCCGCGTTTCCTTTCGAACGCCCTTGCAACAGTGTGTGAAATGTCAGTCTACCTTAGCGTCTGCCGACGTTATGGCAGCCAGATTGTACACCTTGCAGGGTGTACAGGAAGTTGAGCACATCCCCATGCGCTGCACGTCGAAGTCTTGTCGCATACGACATTTGTACAACTACAGGAAACAGGGTGGCAAGAAGCTTAACACAATGCGGCATGATCAGATGGACGTCATCTTTGTCAACAGCAACACCGCCTTCGCAAAGGAGTTCCTGGAGTACCATGATGCATTGGAGTTTCGCGGCTGTGTCAGCAACAATGCCATTACATGGGCACAACAAGAAGTCTTATGGCAGGATGAGAACGAGAATGCGAGCTGGAATCAAGCGTACAGTATCGCCAGCTTGTACTACTACATGATCCGCGAAGCTGAGAAAATGTGGGCCCGATCAACAAACGCCAAGGACAAGCTCGCCGCCATCGACCTGGACAATCCACTCACCGACACATTCATGGCGGATTACACTTCTTGGCGGCACAAGCATCAGCTGACGCCCCACCGAGCACATGTCCATCCGGGAGATTGTTCTAGATGGTCATGAGAAAGTGGCCACGAAATGCTCCGGTGCGCCTCCACCGCATGCCGGAAGACCCCGGAAAGACGGCAAGGAGAAACTTCGTAATAACGGCTGGTTCATGGCCATCGATCCTCGCACAGGGCTCATAGCTGCAGTACAAGAAATGCAGCAGCCAGAGAATAATCAGGTGGCCCTGGATGTCCTTCATCTCGTGGCGATGAGGTCATCACAACTGGACTGCGTCGTCTATGACAGAGCCTGTCGATGCGTTCAGCAAGGCCGGAAAGACGCACGCACCAAACACATTAAGCATTGGTGCGTTGATCGTTTTCACGCCAAAGGCCATGCTCCTGGCTGTCCATGTTCTCCTCTGCAGCACAAGACCTTGAATAACCGCCTGGAGGGCGTCAACACCTCCATTGCGGAACAAACCTTCGCTTGGTTTCGCGGTTATAACTCGCAGTTCAATACAAAGTCGCCACGTTCTCACGCGTTCTACGTCTTGCTGTACGTGCAGAAGCACAATGACTTGACTCGTCAAGGCTACCGCAATCATTTGAACCCCTTCTCCGCCAGGAAGCAAGCTGCTGTGACAAGCGGCTTGCTTAAGCGCCCAGCTTGCAAGAAGTACACATGCAGACGCCCAGCATCATCCCCACGAGCATCCTCTGCGACTTCTAAAAGCGCCTTCGCGAACAAGAAGACCCCTTCCACCCGGGTGATCAAGCGCCACATCAAGAAGACCCCTGCCACCAAGATCATGAAGCGCATCGTCAAGAAGTGATGGGGCAGCGTTAGAGGTTGCCAACCTGTCCAATCGGGCTTGGATGTCGCGTCGTTGGTATCCGCGTGTACGACAGTGCACACTCACCTCAGAACACTGTGCAAATGTATCACGTTTATGCACGCACACTTCGGCATGGCACATGTTCTTACATTCACTTGTTTCAACAACGTCATGCTATATGTTTCGTCCCATCGTTTCCTAGACATCATACAGAAGGACGAAGTGTGATACAGAAATAGTATTTGCCATCAAATTCGTAATTAGATCACGCCAATGTGGTTCAAACGGCGAAGTCACCTTGATGACTCTGCTGTTACAGTTGCAACACCTGACCGAATGCAAGAAACATGCATGTGTGCTTTGAGTCCGGTTTGCAAATACAGGATACTTGCTGAAAGACTAGCTTTGAGCTGATACATACTGAGGTCACAGCCTCAGCTCGGATGAGGGTGTCGGCAGCATTATTTTCAGAGATTACAGGTATGTTCGATTGCTAGTTGTGTTGCCTTCTGATAACAGCTGTATTCTATAGAAGAGTTTGCTATGTTAATAATGTATATCTTAGTAATTACTCTTCAACTGTAAAATCCACGAAAAACCTAGATTTACTCGTAAAATATCGGGCCCGTAATGTCTTACACTCTCCAGTGTTGATATTATGGATATGACAAGTTTGATGAAAGACACTGACACCTTTAAAGAAGAATGTAAACGATACAGCTTGATTCGCATTGATAATTTTAGCAAAACAACTCACGCAGTGCCGATGGAAAACAAAGATGGTGAAGATATTCATAAAGCATTTCTGGAATGTTTCGAAGTGGTAGGACAACCGCAATGTACTTATACTGACCGTGATGGAGCGCTTAAGTAAAAGAAATTACCAACTTATTTCAAAGAAGAGGGCATTACACATATTGTGACATTAACCCATGCTATGTAGCAGAAAGAGCGATTAGAATATTCAAAAAGATGATTGGTGACAGAGCTTTACAAACGAAAGGGGCTTGGACTATATTCTTACAAACGAAAGGGGCTTGGACTATATTCTTAAAGCCTGTCTTGGATAAGTATAACAAGAAGATGGTTCATTCAACAACTGGAATGATACCGGAAAATGCACACCTTGATAAGATTCTGTGGAAGTTAAGGCTAACACAGTGTTGAAAGAAAAATATTTAAGGAGCTATCCCAAGACTGAAGTTGGAGATAAGGTTAAGATTTTGATAAAGGAAAAGGCAGGTATACCAGTAGGAAGGAGACACGCTCTCAGTGGAAAGATGGGATTTATGATGTTAAAGAAGTAAACAGAGACCCACAACTTAACAAATATTACCTTTTGGAAGGTAGAGAAAAGCAAAATAATAGGCATGAGCTGTTGTTGGTTGATTGAAAATACAAAAAGACTTAAACAAAAAGCCCTATAATATTAGTGAGCAATGAGTGAGAGATTGATAAAGGAGAAAGAGGACGAATTAAAAGAATGTGAAACTGAAACTGAAGAACTTAATGAATAAAAAGAATATATAAATTGAAAGACAACTAAATACAATAAGAAATGAAATATATTAGTGGAGGTAACTCAAAAAATGAATTAATTCTCTTAAAATGCTATCATATTGTTGTTCTGATCTATCAAAAAATGTATATGATAAAAGCGGTAAAATGGAGAGAGTTAAATGTTATAAAATTTCGCTCGAAGCTTGGAAACAAAATTAAGGTTGTGTTTGTATTCAGAAATTTTGAAAAAGTCTAGCCAACATGAAACCCAAAATGAAAACCACTTAAAGACAAGCAATGCCATATAGCATTAAGAGAAAAATGAATAAAGAACCACTTTGTCGCTTATGTAGAAGATTTAATGGAACAGCACTTTTCAAAAAAGAAAACTTTAACAGACGTCTTAATAGTAAAAGCCATAAGCTTAACGAAGAATTTAAAACAATTAGTGATAAATGGAACAATGAAAAGATGAGAAAGCAAAATCTAAACTATGGAAACACTTAGAAGAAGCAAGTAAGAAACAACAGAAAGTCAAAAAAACAAAGCTATAAATGCTTACTATGATTTGACCGAAGAAAGAAACGCATATATTGAAAGACATAACAATCGGTATCTTAATTTAAATGAAATGGATTAAATAACTATCAGATGTATTTATTATTATATGATTGTTAAAGGATTTCAAGTAATAAAAGCTTTGGTAGGACTGTTGCTAGGGATATTGGAAAAAATCGGATGGAAACTATGAGAAATGAATTCGGCGCGATGGTATGAGCTATGGTAAGAATGTTAGGGAGTGAATGTAAAAATGAATGAGGTGGGATGAATTGATGAAAAAGTGCTGAAATAGGGAGGCAAAAATGCAACATTGGTGAATAACCCCTAGAACCGGCCTGCGAAAAGTGGATAAGGTGAGTATGATGATGAAAACGAAGAAGGCGTGTTAGGAGTTGAAATAATAGCTGAGGTAAGCAAAGAATAATGTGTTGGTCCTGAGGATCGGCCTTTTACTAATTTTGTTTTGGGGGGGATGCGAGCGAGCGAGGCCTGCATGGATTCGGCTGGCAATCCGCAAATGCCAAGCATCATCGCCTCGCGCCAGGCAAGCTGTGACAAGCGGCTGAGCGCCCCCGAGCAGCCCTGTCGGCGTCAGCTGAGGAGGCTACGCACATGGAGTTCACCTGCGCTTCGCAGCTGATGCCTCTCGAGACGTCTGCAAAAAGCCTTTGAAAGAAAGAAAGAAAGAACTGAGAACCCTGCCTCCGCTGAACATGCCACTTTCCTCGGTCTGCAATATCAATTTTCCTCCGAACACTTCAGCCTTACAGCGGCAAACAAGCGCATGCAGCAAAGCATACGTAGACGTATATGGCCACGAAACCAGTCCCAAAACCTCCAATGGAGAAGCTGTGAGAAGCCCACAGACAAGAGCTAAGCAGCTCACAACGTAACCCATGGATAGGCTAGCCGGCTATCTCCAGGGCAGCTTCGGCTGGGGATCCTCAGGTACCTCAGCCTTTCCTAGAAAGCTCCACATTCTGTTGAAGCTTGAGGCTGGGCCCTGAACTGATCTGTCGGTCCGAGAGAGGAGTGTTCCGGCTATGCAGTAATTCATCAACGTTGCACTGTAAGGCAGTGCACATGCCAAGCATATGCGGGCCACAGCATAGATACCACATGCATCGCTCGCATCGCTACGAATGAAGACGCGCGTGAGCCGAGCCATGGTGTTGCTCTGTGAAGATCCTATGGAGCAGACTAGAAAAAGCTATCAACTAACAGCGGGTTCAGTGTGACGGAGGGTTCTCTTTGGCTCCAAGAGAGGGTTTCGGCGATGCCTCTTTGCAGCCCTTCGCAGCCGAACCGGAGACCGGAGGAGGCGGAGGCGGAGGCCTAGCCGCCCTAGCCATCGCCCAGCGCTCCACGCGTGTGACTGAGTCTCCCATCAGAGGACGGCCGCCCGACGGAGAGCGCTTCAGGGATCAAGAAGTGATGCTGGTCATGGCTTGGAAGTGTTTTCAGAACTCCGGGAAGCTTAGTGGGTAGTCCTTCGGCCGACCAGTGAGGAGCGGGGTCATTCGAATCGAAGTGTTGCATCGGAAGTGGCACCGGTCCAAGCTCCAACGTACCTCAGATGTGCCCAGGTGCTGCCCCCCGGGGACCTCGCAGCCTCGGCCCCACCGCTCGCGATAGTTGTGGAGCTCGTGATGCGGAGATCGGAACTTCGGAACTTCGAGATGTGATCGGAACAAGGCAAAATGGCCTTGGATCAGCCCAGATGCTCAATGATGTCACGCTTGGGCGTGATCCTCGCGAAGGGTGCTCCACCAGGCCTTAAAGGACGTGATAGGCTATCAGGCCACAATCCTCTTGGGCAAGATCCTGGACCTTTGGAAGGCTCAGGAGGACTTGATCGAGGGAGTCTTTCTCGGGGCAATCCGGCAAGAGGGAGCTGTTACAGCTGGAAGGCAGTGGAGAGGAGCCCTTGCCTGCGGCCACAGCAGCCGCCGGGGGCCTCGAGCCTTCATCTCTGGACATCTTGGTTGTAGCAGCAAAAAGGGCACGTCTCCTGGAAGCGTTGAGCTTCCCGCCCTCCCGGACTTGGTGGAAAAGTGGATTGTTGTGCGTGGCGCAGACGATTGGCTCCCTTTCAGACTCCGCAACAGCGTGGTTGAGTACTTGCAGTGCTCACGGGAGGCGTATCAAAGGCACCAGGTGGCTACGGTGATCCCCAAGGACCTCTCACAGAGCAAGTTGAGCCGATTGGGGCTCAAGGTCATGACCATGTGGTTGGTGGCGATGCCCAAAGCAATCAAAGAAGACGCTGTCACAGGCAGAGTGGCAACAGTGGCAGGTATACTTTTCAGGCTACACCTGGTCTACGTGGCGGGAGGAGTGAATGAAAGGACGGCTGTCTTGAAGCAATTACAAGGAACGCAATTTGACCCTTCTGTGGAGGTGATTACAGCCTGGAGGAAATGGAGTACGAGGACATCCGAGATGAGCGTGACGCCTCCAGACACTGTTGCTCAAGGATGTCACGCCAATTCGACATCCAAATGTCAGCTTTCCCCTCCTTGCCCGGAGCGACTTACAGTTACAGCTACAGACCAACCCAGGAGACAGTGCTGAAGTACGTTATATCACGTTATATTAAGCCTGCACACTGCCAACAACTTCAGGCAAGCATCTTGAAACTCGGAGAGTCCTCCCCACCGCCGGCCTTTCACTAAGATCTCGTCCTCGAACAGATCCGTCTCCTGACAAGACCCCTGAAAACATGTAACAATATCATGGCACTGTGTAACTGCGTAACTTGGGACGACTGGAAATAAGCAGCTGATTTTTGTCAGAGTCCCCGTTCCGAGAGCCAGCTTCGCGTCTCGTGGGGGAGGAAAGCATCCGAATCCGAGTCTTTTCCAGAGGAACCTACAAGGAAGGCGAGCGCTTTCCTTGCCGCTCCGCTTGCTCCGCTTAAGGCTCTTGCCAAGGCTTTCTGCAGGAGCTGCTTGCATTTTCGGCCGTAGTACATGCGGAAGTCCGGCGGATCGGCGGTGGGACAGAGCTCTTCCGGAAGCCATGGGATCCGCTTTCGCCAGCACGCGCAGAGAAGATAGGCCCAAGCCGTTTCGATGCCAGACTCAGAACAAATCCAGTGAGCAGTGGAGAGAAGGTCATCATCAGTCTCCGTTGAACCCGAGCTCAAGCAATCCACCAAGCCAGCGAAATCGCTGACCACTCGATCCACGGCAAGCTTCAGAACTTCCTGACGAAGCTGCGCACAAATTCGAAAACATCTTCAAAAGAGCTCCGTAGTTTTTCTTGTACTATCCTGAAAAAAAAAAACCTGTTGTCCTGATTCGCGGCATCGATACTTTCCTGAAGCGTGGCCGGGACCTGCTGCTCCACCTGGAGCTCCTCAGCGCCTTGCGGGCCTTGCGCGTGGGCACGAGTGTACACTAAGCAGCGTGCTTCCGTGCTCTTCGGCACGAGATCTCCTAGTTCTTTCCTGTTGCCGGCATCACCAGGAATACTCTCAGCCTCGTCCTCGCTTGTAGAGTCGAAATCCTCTGATCGTCCTTCTGCCAGGCGTCGCATCTCCTAGAAAGCGCGGCTGAGCCGTCATGGGCCATGCAAGAACAATAAGGGGATTCGCAGTCATAAAGAAACTTTTCTGCCAAGCCCAAGCCACCCTGAATGAGGCAACGCTGGCGGTCGCATCGTTCAGACACCACCAAGAGGAGCTCGCGGAGCTCTGCCTCGCAAAGGCGAAGTAATGGCCAGTCTCCAGGACTCCCTGGTGACAAATCACCGCTTTCAGCTCGTAAACCAAGCCTCTTTCTTCCCCAAATCTCATCAGTTCCTCCGCCTGCTCTTTCAAGCGCTTCAGGAGCTCCTCCTGGCGCTCGGCAATCCAGAGAAGCTCCTCCGCACCCGGGGCGTCCGGGGCGTCCCGCGGGGCGCTTGTACGGTCCTGTAAGAGGCTCCGGTTCCGTGCAAGCTCTGCTCGCAGGCTTCGGCGGCTTTGGCGCTTCTCCATACCCGTACCGTTTTCCCCCACATCAGACAACATCCACGCGTTGAGTCGGTCGGGGAAGGTGACACGGAGCCTCCTTTTGACGCCTCTTGAAAGGCGACGATCAAAGCGAAAGCGGTCCAAGTTCAGCCAAAGCACCTCCGGCAAAGCATAGGAGAGCCGCCCTCCCGCTCCCGCCACTCCCGCTCCGTGACCTTCGACGTGCTCTTCGAGGAGCTCCGGCAAGCACCCGGGCTTTGTCACGCAAAGCTCCAGCTGGAAGACCGGACCATTTGCTACTTTCCGCACAGAAGGGGTCCCCTCGATGTGCTCGTGGAGCTCGCCTCCAAAGAGGAGTTGGAGGGTCTTTGCCAGAGGCACACTTTTTGCGAAGACGACGTCGAAGAGGCTTTGCAGCTGCTCAGACGCGTCCGCTTCTTCTCCCGGCCTCTCGAAGACAGTCTCGTAGAGCCTGCCGGCATCGACGGCACTGGCTAGTCCCATCTCCATGTCTAGGAAGAGATCTCGCATCATTTTCAACACCGGGTGTGCAGAAAAACCAGACTCCTCCAGCTGATACAAAGCACTTCGAAGTTGTGGCGCGCAGAAAAAGAGTGCCTGCAGGAGACTGTTGAAGAAGCAGGAATTCCCAGAATTCCTGAGCCCTGCAGGTACGAAGGGTCCTTCGGCTCCCATCATGGAGCGCACGGAGACAGAAGGCTGCGAGGAAACACTTTCTCGGAGTGCATGCCGAATCGCTGCCTCCTCCGCGGCGCAAGCTGAAACATGTGGATAAGATGAGGACAGCGCAGACAAGGCAGCGAAGTACTCTGCATCTGCGTGAGCCTGGTCAAATCCATTGCCATACATCGAAGAGCACCCGTCCAACCAGCACCGCGGACTTGAAAAAATGACGGGGGATAGCTGTTGAGCCAGTTTTGCAGAGATACCCTTGCTCTCTGAACAACACGGCAAGACATCACGGTGGTTCCCTGCCAGTGTGCTGTTAGCCTCAGATTTCACAATGCCGGTGCAAGCAGCAGACACGCATCATGAAGTTCCAAGTTCTTGTCATTGCAGATATCTCAAAAAGAAACCACGGACACCCGAAGATCTACCTTCCCGACCTGAATAGCTTCGCACATCGCAAGATGTAACAAGTCTCGCAAGAGGCCAGTAGTCTAGTAGGAGTCAACAAGCTGTGTTTCCGTGAGGAGTCCTTCAAGAACACTCTGAAGCCATTCTGAAGGATCACCTCCTGGACGAACAGATGCATCGACAGCTTCTGGATGTTGGCGCTGGCCTCTCCGAAGTCTGCGTCAGGAGATCGCGTGGCCGTGCTGCTTTTTCGGCTGGCAGTGGGCACCCCGAGGGCATGGACCTGCAGAAGAGCAGTGAGATGCAGTGAGCAGGGGAATTTCCGAGGGACCAGAAGAAACTGGCCTGGCGCCGCCTGCGAGCGGTGGAGGCTTGCAACAGCCAGGCACAGAACAACGGACTAGGAAACACACTTCCGGCTGACGAGGGCGAGAGCTACAAATGTTCACTAGTTCGAGGTTCGGACCGGGTCGAATGCTTGTGCTTTCCGGAGGATCAAACCAATAATAACAAAGTTGAGCAAAAGTGATCGTCAGGCCCTCACTAACCATCTTTACATGCCCGTCTTCCATGAGGCTCTCGGGCTCTGAAGCCTGGTCTGCGACACGTTCGCCAAGCGCTCTGGCGCAGTAGCATCGAAGAGGAGCTTCAAGCGTGAATCCTGGTCTGTTTGCAAGCTACCCGGCTTCACACGTGCACTGAGTTCTGTCCAAGCCGAGAACGACATCGTCCTCGTCTGCTGGCCATGCCTGTGCACAAAGTACTTCTTCCATTCGTAGCTGCCGTAGCTCGTGGCCGTGGGGGCCCTTTCAAGCGCCGCTCCTAAGCGCCGCTCCTTGAGCTGCTCCGTGGCCACAGCCTGCAGCAGCTGAGTCACCTCCTCCTGAGACGGGGACGTCCGTTTCACACAACAAGCGATGGGCTGCTTCCGTTGTATTGCCGCGGGCCAAGCTCTTCTTAACTTGCGGTGTTCTAGCACTTGCAGGGAAGAGGCTCGGCTGAGATTGTCGTCCCCACACTACCGCTGTAATGTGCTGTGCGTTGTCTGTCCAAACGGAGGAACAGTAAGACCAGTTGCAATCGGTGCAGGGAAGCGTGTCTTCCTGCTTTCAATATCTGGCAGCTTTCGGCGTCCTTACTGAGACGGAATGCGTTTATCCGGGAGCACCAGGGTACGTCCGGCTTAGATGCGGGCCACAAGCCGACATGCAAACCTGTTTAGCTAAGTAACTCAACAATGAGACTCTAAGAAAACTCTTTTCACTCTTTGGGCCAACGGCGCTTGACGGTCACAGTCATTCATGCATCTATGCTATACGCTACCGTAGGTCTAGGCTCACGTGGTTGCGGTGTTCTCGTTGTCGTTGTTGCTGTCGCTGTTGATGTTGCTGTTGCTGTTAGTGGTGGTGTTAGTGGTGGCTTTTTTTGGCTCCTACTTGTCAGCGTCAGTCGGACCCTGCTCTGCAGGTATTAAGTCGTCTACGAGCGAGGGGAAGTGGTGGTGTTGCTCTTGTTTGTGTTGCTAATGCTGTTGCAGTGGCAATGGCGGTCATAGCAGCAGCAGCACCGGCAGGAGCAGCAGCAGCAGCAGCAGCAGCAGCAGCAGCATGACAGCTGGAGGGAAGATTTTCGCGCGCAGCTGAATACCAAAGCAGTAGCAGCCAATGGCCAGGAGTAGCAGTAACCGGAGCAGCAGCAATGGCAATAGCAAGCAGCAGCAGCAGCAGCAGCAGCAGCAGCAGCAGCAGCAGCAGCAGCAGCAGCAGCAGCAGCCGGAGCCGGAGCCGGAGCCAGGGCTAGGGCTGCGGGGTTGCTGCTGCTGTCACCGCGTAGCCAGAGTAGTATTCACAATTAACAAGCCTGATACCAGTACTGGTGCGAGTGCTACTCCTAGTGTCCTAGTGCGAGGAGGAATGCAGCAGGGTTACACAGGGTAAGCAGCGTGTAATCTACCTGACCGCGTGCTCAGTAGCCCGACGAAGGACTGTCAAAACGACCGGCTGACAAACTGATGGCGATGGACAGGATCACCGACATTCTGACCGACGAACCATTCCGCCAGCACACTGGAAAACTGAACAAAGAAACCTGCCAACGACATGAGCACGTAGTTTCGTGCTTCTCCTCGCTGGGCAAGTCCAGCGAAGGTCGCGGAATGCGAAATTGACGGCAGGCCTGCGAAAGGGCTTTTGCAGGATAAGGAACCACCATTATGACAAAGATGCATAGGTTTGCTTGCATGGTGGCTTGGACGGACATGACAACATGAAACATACAAACAAGGAAGCAAAGCATAATTTTCACAACCAGTTTCACGGGGATGCAACACTCGGCTTCTGGCAGCAACCACTGGGACGATCCGGTTCGTGTTGTAGGATGAACTACCGGTTGAACTACCGGTAGCTACCCACTCAAGAATCGCAGAAGGATAGCATTCCACAGCTTGCAGGTCATACTACTGAGTACTACTGCTTCCATCTAAAACGAATAGCCCGTCAAGGAAAGCCCCTGGATTCATGGGCTCCCACTAGAAGCACATGTTTCGTGGGCCTAAGAACGATGAGACAAGTAGCCGACACAACTTCCGTAGGTTTCTCGAGCGGCTCGCAAAACCTTTACGAGTTTCTGTAGTTTCCTTCGGCCACATTTCTTGCAATGTCCAACGAACGACGTCTCAGCCAAATAGGTCGTTTCGTGTCCAAAACGAGGCCCCTGCAATCTGGCTGTTCGGCGTTTACGTGATTGGCCATGAGTGTGTTTTTCATGGCCATTGCGCCAAAGCCAATCGATCACTTTGCCATCACATCTGTGTCAACCCTTTCACATTGAAAGCAATTGTCGGATAGCCTGGAACCAGTGTTTTAGTTGTGGGGTCGTTGCTGTGGTGCTGCGCCCCTGCATCTGCGGGGAAAATGGCGCCAGCACGACGCCAGCACTGGTCCTCAGACAGTTTCAGCCGTCTTCCAGCAAACATCCCATGGGATCAACGCTGTATCGAGCGATGTGGTGGTCATCTGCGCCGCCCACCAGATGTGCGTACTGATGCACGACACGGAAAGAATAAGGAGCGGCATGACCAGGCCGAACAAGCGCAAGGTGTTCTTGGGAGGGGTGCTCGACTCGTCTCATGAGCTTCGTAGTAATCCACAGCTGTCGCTTGCCGAGCTGCTCGGCAAATACAATAAAAGCCCTGCGTACACTAGCAGCATATCCAAAAACCCACCATCCCCGGACGACCACGAATACGATAGCAGTGGAGACATGTACCGAGACACGTAACATAGCGACAGCCGCGGAGTACACAACATAGCTAGCACGGACAATCTCGTGGACCAAATCCCGGTTGGCTTGCAACCCTCCGTCACATTGGGCACTTCAAGCTTGCCCTCCCTGAAAACCAACAGTTCTCCCAGTGATTCAACAGCAGATCTATCGGCAGCACGGACACACATGCACAGACATGTTGGCCTAGTCTCGCGATACATGGCAAGACAGCGAAACGTCGCTTCTTGTCGAAGCACTTTCATGATTGTCGCAAGAGCATCGATTTGCCGCGAAAGTGATATGTCCAATGCCCTCGTGACCATGGTATGAATCGAGGGAAATGGCAGAAGCAGCTCGTGCCAATGCTCGGTGCCATCCATCCAGTTTCTCGAACCGGCTAAAGACATCTTTTTTGTCATATGCATTAATTCGTCGAGTAACGGTTCAGCGGGCGCCACGTACCTTGCGTACGGCCAAAACTTGCCGGGAATCGACCCTCCGCTCTCCTCAGTGGCAGCTGTGTAATGCAGCTGTTCAAACAACAACACATACTAGTTCGCCATGATGCTTTCAACACCCAAGCAAGTGGACTGTCTTGGTGGCACATCATCATCATATACACAAAGGGATACAAAGGGATCGGAGTCGCCGCTTTCTCGGTGGTGCGACCTCACACAAGTCCGAACTGTGTCCAGGCCAGGATATCGGGAGTGTTTCGGAAGCTTGCTGGAACAGGCGATCCGTGCACAAGCGGCGGCAGCAGCAGAGCAGCAATCCACAATCGGATGCCAAGGTCCTATGGCTGATGACCTGTGAAAATGAAAGCTTAAAACCTTGTACCAACGTCACTTCTTAATCCCTTGAAACACACGGCACGGGCTTCCACTATTTGCCCGCTGACTTGTGAGTCTTGAACCGTGGTACAACCTACGGAGAATACGCAGTGAAACATGCTAAATTGGGCATACACATCAAATTGAAATGTTTGTTACGCCCTCATCGACTCAGGTTGCGTTGTGCAACTTGATTCGATCTTAAACATGCTTCTACCATCCACTTCATTTCTCGCATGCTCTTTCGAGCCTTCACCTTTATCACACGCTTCTTATAAGCATCTTCATCTTCCTTATCTTCATCTTCAGCTTCTTCTTTGTGTGGATGTCCTGAAAATCGTGGCGTGAAACATGCAATTCCAGAGTCAACGCTTTCCAAACTGCAAATGCAACCTAATGCAAAGACGCACTCACTTTTTCATGCATCGCTAGGTCGCGGTTATCGTTGTAGAAACTCTTTCCTCGTTCGGTCCAAAGACCATTGCGGTGTTTCTCTTGATCCTGCCGTTTACGTGGCTTCTCACTTCTGAAACACAAAGGTCGTAGTGCCTGACGTGCGGCTGGCCGTGGTTGTGGCCTTTGCCTTTCTTCTTTACCATGCCCTCATAGCTTGGCGTGTCTTGAAAGACCATTCGTCTTTCTCTTCTCTCACGCTGCATTTACTCTTCTTTCCTCTCACGCGAATACGTGAAACATCCGTTGTTTATACTGCTGGATTCGCAGTCTCTTGTACACTTCGCCCTCATGGACCTTTTAATCCATATCATCAGGATCATTGTCCCGACTGCGCTGCTTGTCCTTTCTTTCAGGGCTTTCCGCAATCTTCTTCTTCTTGTCGTCGTCCTTCTTCTCATCTTTCTTTTTGTCGTCCTTTTTCTCATTTTTCTTCTTGTCGTCCTTCTTTGTTATCCTCTTTCTTCTTGTCGTCCTTCTTTTTCTTCTCCGTCGGGTTCTCTTCTTCACGGAGATGATCCTTGGAGCTTCCGGCTCCTTTGTCTTTTCCTTCTCCTTCATCATCAAGTTTGATCACTTCTCCTTTCGGCTTTTTCTTCATCTCTTCTTGACCCCATTTGGGATCTGGCTTGCGTTTCTTATCATCTTCAGCATCAGTTGTTCGCTGCGTCGCGTCAAACACTGCCATCCAGTAAGAACCCCAGGGGTGGGGTAACGTACATACGTACGTACGTTAGTACGTTAGTACGTTACAGTACGTTGGTACGTTAGTACGTTGGCACGTATGTACGTATATGTACGTTCGTACGTTAGTACATTGGCACGTATGTACGTTGTGGTACGGTAGTAGGTACCTACGTACATACCTTCGTACGTGCGCACGTATGTACGTTCGGACCTGAGTACTCTAGCACGTTGGTAGTACGGTAGGTAGGTAGGTAGCTAGGTTCTTCCTGCCTCCCGGGTAGGGAGGTATGTATGTATGTACGTACATAGAGGTGCCTTCGGACCTTAGTACTTTAGTACGTTGTTGTCAGGGTGGTAGGTAGGTAGGCAGGTATGTAGGTAGGTACCTACGTACATACCTTCCTGCCTCCCCCCTCGAAAGACAAAAGTACGGAGGGGGGGGAGGGAGGTATGTATGTATGTACGTACATACAGGTGCCGTCGGAACTTAGTACTTTAGAACGTTGGTAGCACGGTGGTAGGTAGGTAGATGGGTAGGTAGGTAGGTAGGTACGTAGAAAAAAACATTTGGCAGGGGGAGGGAGGAGGTATGTATGTACGGTACATACGTTAGTACGTTAGTACGTTAGTATACGTTAGTACATTAGTACGTAAGTACGTGCGCAAAAAAAATTGGCAGGGGGGGAGGGGGGTATGTATGTACGTACGTTAGTACGTTAGTACGTTAGTACGTTAGTACGTTAGTACGTTAGTACGTTAGTACGTTAGTACGTTAATACGTCAATACGTTAGTACGCTAGTACGTTACTTTGGCGGGTTTTTGCTTTGGTCAGTTATAACTCGAGATATACTGGACTTGTTAAGTCGAGTTATCTCGGACTTATAAGTGGAGTTTTGGTGGACTTATAAGTCGGACTTATAAGTGACTTATAACTCCGAAATTGGGGATTTAGCGAGCACACATTTCGGGGTTTAGCGAGCACCATTTTGCGATCATGAGGGGTGCAAAAACTCGTCACGAGAAGATCATTTTGAGGTATATAGGCGGTCAGAAAATGGGTTTGGTGAGCACCATTTTGGGATCATGAGGGTCGCAAAAACTCGTCACGAGAAAACCATTTTGAGGTATATAGGTGGTCAGAAAATGCGTTTCGCGAGCACCATTTTGCGATCATGAGGGGTGCAAAAATTCATCACGAGCAAAGCATTTTGAGGTACTGCGGCGGTCCAAAAAATCATGTAGAGGTGAAAAAACAGTGTTCAGAATGCCAAAATCTGCCAGCATTCAAATTATATTGTATGACAAACGGCCACGCAGGGAAAGCCTGTAACAGATTATGTACAGGGTTGAACATGCATTTAGGGCTGGGGG